GAGTTTAATTTTGAAAGAGCATTGTAGTTGCTTTAAAGTAGCGAGTGCTGGGGCTGGTATAGAATCCAAACTCCAGATCAATTGATCATTAGCAACTCTATTAAAAGTACTTAATTTTGGGCAGTCACTGGTCTGGTAAGCCTGTAGAAAACATTGAAAGGGTTTTGTATAGAAAAATAGCTTTGGGTTAATAAAAACTTAAATATTCTTTTAAAGTACACTTTCCTATTACATGTATTTAAAGTATCTCATGTTTGAACCTGAGGGTATTGCAATAGCCAGTGTGTGATAGATGAAGATAGTTGAACTACATGGTGTGCATGTCTGCTCTTTTTAATGTTTTTCATACAATTCTGAATTAAGGGAAGGGACACATCTTCAATGGATATAAATCAGCACTAATTAGGACTGTGCTGATTTAAACTGATAATGGATGCTTCTTGCTTTTTATTTGCAGATAACATTGGGTGTTTTCTGTCAGTTTTATTTAATGAGGAGGTTTTAATGTAGGGTGAAGTGACAACCTGTATTCTTTTTGTTTATGTCACTGGTCATTAATAATTGAACGTAATTTTCATCTTGGGAAAGAAAAAAAGTGAAAGAAGAAAAGGCAATCATAGCATGACTTTACTCAGTTATAAACTTTCTAGCTTCATACAAACATCTTGGATATAAACAAAAGAAGGAGAAAATAGTTGAGTGTGAATTTGTGAAATCTTATGTTTTTCCTTTTGCTGATAAATTAGGATAACCTTTTAAATATCTTGGAAACAGAAAAATGTTAAAATGGTTTTTATAATTTATGTTTTCTTTTAAATTATTTTTACAATTATTTTACACAGTATGGCAGTTCTAGCTAAATTGAATGTCACTATGATTAATCTTTAAGGGGTTCTTTTTGCCTTCAGAGATCCAGACTAGACATCACAACTTTGTCATTGCCCCTCTATGTTACCTGAAGGTGAAGAGAAAGTGGCCTCAGTGATATGGATGATGTACACAGAATTATTTTTCATGTCTTAAAGTGTAGCTGGATTACTAAAGAAGGGACAACGCAGAAACAGGGTTTCTGTACAATATAATCTTCAATGTTTAAAGTTGTACAGTAATATCTTCATTTGATGAGTTGATTATGGAAAAGATAATTTGTATTTACTATGAAATGGTAGGAAACAGCATGCATCACCACACCTTGTAAGTATTGAGAACTCAAATAAACCCACTACTTAGTGTATTAACTTGATTGCCCATTTAAGTGGATTATAATTGTGTTTATTTTCTTTTTATAACTGAATTTACAATGTTGTCATAGCAATAAGTGAAGGATATTCTGTGCTAGATGCTTACTGACATGTTTTTTATTGTTGATTAGGATCATCACAGTTTAGATGAACTTACTTTAAACTGACTTCTTATATTCTAAGGAGCAAATCAGTTTTCAGTAATTATTCTGGTAAGAATTCCTGGTTTTCAACAGGAATTTTTATCAGTATAAGTACACATAATTCCTAGGATGTTCTGCACTAAAAGTTATCTGCATTGATGATGCCAGGAGAATAGATAAGGATTTTAATTCAAATGCTTTTCCTTCAAATGTTGTCATATCTCCAACTCAGTTGAAGTACTTGTGGAGGGCAAAACAGGCAAGCAATGCTCATTGAAGAAAAGAATCTTTCCTTAATTTTGAGACTGGATGAAAGTGAGGAAGACAGCAATTCCGAGTCTGATGAGGTAACAGATGTAGAGACAAAACTGCAAAAAGCGTAAGATATCTTAGTTTTATCCTAAAACGATGTAATTTTTGAAAGTCCAAACAAGTAGCTTGGAGAATGTCCCCCCCATCCTAGCTCCTTTTATCTAACAGCCTAAGTGTAATGAACATTTTTATTGAAGTATGCCAAAGCAAGTTGATTGTTAAATGGAATGTACTTTTCTAAGATCTTAATTATATCAAATGAGCAGAATTATTGTGCTTCTTTCATATCATCTGCAACTACCCTTCTGTAGGATTCTGTAATTACTACTTAGACTTTCCTTATGTTAGGAGGATGTGTGCGCTGTCTTAGACTTCTTATGGTAATGATTTTGTATCCTCTTACCCTATTGTTCTTCACAGGTTCTACCTTTAGGGTATGTGACTTGTACATCCTTCTTTTTCTGGTAATTTTGTAGTTAGTTGTTCTGTCACAATGCAAATTGTGGAACCAAGTCAGCAGAAACATTTCAATCTGGTGCTTTTAAACTAGTGTAAGAGCTTAAATGTCTTTCAATATACTTTTTAAAGGTTTGTTTGTATACTATAAATTTGCTGTAGAAAGAAATTCACAAATGAATTGTTGATAGAGTATATTTAGAGAGTGCACCTGTTTAAGATTAGAATATTTTACTCAGTTTTTCAGGCTTGCTCTCTTAGTGCATAAAAAAGCAGATATATGAGCAGTTAATGATGGTTGCATTTTATTTATCATGGTATCTTTTAGTGGGTTGACCCTGGCTGGATGCCAGGTACTCACTAAAGCCACTTTCTTGCTCCCCTCTGCAATTTGACAGAGGAGAGAAAATATAATGAGGGATTCATGAGTAGATAAGGACGATGAGAGATCACTCACCGATCACCATTATGGGCAAAACAGACTCAAAGTGGGGGTATTTAATAAATTTATTACTAACAGAATCAGAGAAGGAGAGTGAGAAGTAAAATAAAAACACCTTCACTCCATCCTTCCCTCCTTCCAAGCTCTACTTCCTCCTCCCCAGCGGTTCAGGGAGATGGGGAATGGGGGTTCTGGTCAGTTGTTGTTTGTGCTGCTTCTCAGGAAGAGGAATCCTTCCCCTGCTCCTGTGGGGTCTCTCCCATGGGAGACAGTCCTTCATGAACATCTCTGGCGTGAGTCCATCCCATGGGCAACAGTTCTTCACAAACTGCTGCACTGTGAGTCACTTTTCCACAGGATGCAGTCCTTCAGGCACAGGCTGCTCCAGCATGGGAGTCCCCCAGATGGCCAGAGGTCCTACCAGGAAAACCTGTTCCAGTGTGGGCTCCTCTCTCCGTGGGTCAGCAGGTCCCTGCCAGGACCCTGCTCCAGCACGGGCCTCCCACGGCGTCGTAGCCTCCTTCAGGCACCCACCTGATCCACCACGGGTCTCCTCCATGGACTGCAGGTGGATCTCTTCATCCCCGTGGCCCTCCATGGGCTGCAGGGGCACAGCTGCCTCACCATGGGCTGTGCCACGGGCTGCAGGGGAACCTCAGCTTTGGCGCCTGGAGCACCTCCTGCCCCTGCTTCTGCACTGACCTTGGTGTGTGCACTGCTGTTCACATGTTCTCATTCTGCTCTTCTCTGGCTGCAGTTTTCATCTATCTAATAACTTTTTTCTCCTTTTTTCCCTTGTTATCACAGAGGCATTACTATCTTTCCTGATTGGCTTGGCCTTGGCCAGTGGTGGGTCCATCCTGGAGCCGACTGGCATTGGCTCTACCAGACATGGGGGAAGCTTCTGGCAGCTTCTCACAGAACTCACCTCTGTAGCCCCCCCACTACCAAAACCTGGCCACAGAAATACAAGACATAGCTTTAAAACACAAATCTGCTTTTGATAGGAAGCTTTAACAGAATTTTTTACTTAACCTCTGTCAGGCTATGTGGTTTACTCTTCCACTTCTCCCACTCCCTTCCAGTGGAAGGAACTTTTCATCAATTCCTGAAATTTTATTGATATTTAGTTATCTAGATCTGAGAGACCTTAAAGTTAAATGTCATCTTAATATTTAAAATCTTAAAATTTAAAATTAATATTATAAAATCTTAAATATCCACCTCAGTCGGATATTTAAAATTTCTTTTTTACAGTGAAGATGCTCCCTCAAACCACTGTTTTCTCTATGCTGAAGGCATCTTTTGCCTGTCAAGGGGTCTTCCTGTGTGGTGCCTTGAAACTGTGTGTTTGTGGGTAGAAGGAATATCTGTTTCTTTTTATGACCATATTCCTTTACAAATGAAGAATCATCTGCATGTTCTGCAAGAATTCTGTATTCTTTGCAGTTCCCAAGACTTTTCATTGCACATCTGCTTCCTCTTTTCCTTTTTAGGGTCAGCTCTTACAAAAGCTAATGAAAGTTGGAATAATTTTTAACCAGAAGTGTTATTTCTCTTGAAATGGAAAGGATTTTTACTTTTCCTACATTAAATAGAAGTTTGCATTTGATTTATAATTTCAGTTTATTAATGTATGAATTCAAGTTTAGATGATGAACAAACCTCAGTAATACCCCTCAGGGCTGATTTATGGCTCAGAGATTTCAGAATATGTATTTCCATACTTTTCCTGTGCTCGCATACCAGAGGTTTCACAACTGCGTTACAATTGCTGTTGCTTGGTGTTATTTTAGGTGACTAACAGTTTCAAATACTAGAGTTGTCATGAATAATCATCATGATGGTACATTGAAGAAGGCTGGATCTTGTTCTGAGTACAGAAAATACACTGAAATAATCTTGTGCGAATGTGTCGGAAGACTTAAGAGTGGAGTTGAAGTGCAAGAGCTCTGGTCTTCTAAGAATATATGGCCAGCATTCAAGAGCAGAATGTACTTTATGTGTGAATGTAAAAAAGTAGTCAGAACTTGAGTCTTGTGAAGGTACATCTGTCCATTAGGCTGTGTTTGCTTGCCAGTCGGTTCAACAAATGCTGCCACAAATACTATTTTCACAAGCAGAGCCTGGGATTGTTCTTGTCAGTGAGTGGAAGTCTTGTAAACAACACAGTTTGGAATCAGGTTGAATCTGTATGCTGCAGCTGTGTTATGCACGGTTTTATTTCTGTGAGATTGAGGTTTTAAAATCTTTATTTAATGTGTTTAATTTCTTCTGGTTTTAAGAAAACATGACCAAGGTTTATCAGTAAAGCCGTATGGAATAAAAATGAGAGTTGAATTGCTAATGCAAATAATTTATCAAATAATTATAAGTGATATGACTTTTTTATTTTCTATATCCTAGGATACCAGATGGTCCCATTGATCAGGGACCAGCTGCAGGAAAGGTACATGCTTTAGAGGAGCAACTTCTAAAGGCCAAAGAACAGATAGAAAATTACAAGAAGCAGACAGGAGTTGGTGTGTAAAAAAGTTTTCTTTTGCTTCTAAACCAAATTTTGGTGTTTTGGTATTTCATATCACAAATGTATTGGCTTCTTAACAAGTAAACCTTTAACCTAATTCAGCTACAATTACTGATGCTTTTATGCCTTTTTAATTATTTTTTTTAAATAGAAGGCCTTGGAAAAGACCATGAAATACTGAGGAGGAGGATTGAAAATGGGGCTAAGGAACTTTGGTTTTTCCTCCAGAGTGAACTGAAGAAATTGAAAAATCTAGAAGGAAGTGAACTGCAAACACGCATTGATGAATTTCTGTCTGATTTGGGTCATCAGGAAAGGTATGTCTGTTAGTTGATTTTGACCTTTAATTAAACTGTCATTATGTTGTTCAAAGATACATTGGAACTTATATTTTTAGTTGTTGTCAATCTTTTGGCCTCTGCATTGTTGGAGTACCTTTTGTATTATATTAAAATATTCTGTATGAGTTTTGTTCATGCTGAACAAAATTAATCCAGAAACTGTAAAATTCAGTGAAATCTGTCTGTAAGCATATTATGTTTATAACTCTGCCAACAGGATTGCTGTGACAGCTTGTGTCTTATCAGTAAACAGTTGTAAGGAAATAGTTGAATTAACTAGATATACTACCGTAAACAAGTATCAATTCTAAAAAAAAAAGCTGCGATCTGCATGTGTAAACATCAGTAATAAAGCATGAGCTTTTGAAAATAATACTATAGTAAAAGGAACATATGGTAAGAATTTTCAGTTTTTAATACTATTTAAAACATCGTTTAAAGATAATATGAATTTATTTCTATTTATGATTATTAATGGGGGAAAATAACATACTCCTTTAAGTTTTGAAATTTAATATTCACAGTCCCCAAATCCAGTTTATCACAGTTTGAGTTGAAAGTGAGAAGGTTCTATTCAATTGTTGAGAGTTATTATTTATATAAAAGATGTGATTAAATTTCATCCAATTATTTCTCAGTCAAGTGCAGTTTATATGTTTGACTGAAATAAAAGTAGTGATTGGCTTAAGCAGAATTTTTCTAAAGACTTGAGATCTTCAGTTGAACAGTGAACTGAAAGAGAATCTACCACTTCCTTGGACAGTTTGTTTCAACAGTTATCTCACCTCAGAAATATTTGTTCTTCGTAGAAGTTTGTGTTTCTTGGACTACAGGTCATTGATTCTTATGTACCTTTTAAACTAACTATCTCTGCCAAAAACTGAAGCAAGTAGTCTAATGGCAGACTTTCTGATGTTTATCATGGTAACAAAATCATGTTTGTACACATTTTTGCTCTGTTTAAAGCCAGTATGATGCAATCATCACGGAGAAACCTTGAATAAGGTGTGTTTGATGGCAGAAAGTTTTTATGTTCCTGCCTTCCAGGATGAGTCCTTTTCCTTATTCTTTTCCTTTCTACACCAATGAGTTTATTAAACCCAATTTGCAAGTCTGCATTTCTGACAGTCTTATGTTCACATCTCTCTGTACCTAAGGATAAGGTGAAATCCATTCTAGAAATGCATAGCTCCCTTGCACTGAGTTATAGAAGTGTGCCTTGTGGACCTCTAGAAGTTATGAGGTAAATCCCAGTGTGGAAGTGTGAAACCACTGTGGTACTGGATGAAGTCTGTATGTGATGCAAGCAATTGCATCTGCTCTTTTTTTTTTTATTTTTTTTAATTTGACAATTTTTGTGTTGAATGCAAGTTTTCTTTTGGCTGACACAGTGGTTATCAAAAGCAGAGTATCCTGGAGTCTCTTGATTCTTAGTAGTCATCTATGTAGACCTTCCTGTGTGTCGAGATCCTCAAAGAAAACTTAAGTTATTTAAGCTAAAACCAAACAGCCAGAAACTACATTTTATTAAACTAAAATGTAGACCATCTTTTTACAATATGGAAATTCAAAGGAATTGCATAAGAGAAAACAGATACAAAAATATTTCTACAAAATTCAGCCTGTGTTCTTGGTGCACTTACAATATCACCTTCAAGCAATAATATTGTCTTGTCTTCTTGCTTGCCTCTAGTCCCAAGGAAGTTTTCTCTTTCACCTTTAAGGTCAAGCTGTTTGCTTCTTTTCCTTTAATCTTTCAATCTTTCTGTGTGAGTTGCAGAAAACTCCCAGTTCCTTGTGTGCACATCCTTTGGCATGCGATGCACTGCTGTCTCTGGAGTGCTCTTTGCCTGTACAATGCACAGGAGCTCCCCAGGGAAGGAGTGGTCTCATCTTCCCTCCACACGGTCCATCTGGTCTCTTCTCCTGAAAAGAACATAGCATAAGCTTGGAATGAACAAAGCAAATGCTCTCATTCACTCCGAGAATCACGGGTTTTTAGTTTTTGGGAATTTTTTTGTTATTGCTGGGATTTTTTTGTTCTTTTGTTTTTAATTTTTTAAAAGGCATTAGACAAGTTGCCAAATGCCCTTTTGTTGACAGTGCTGTCTTAAAAAGTGCTGTCTTACATGAATGGAATACTGCAAGTGAAGCTGATATTACTTATTTATGTATTTTTATATATATACATGAATATACATAAATAGATATCTTAGAAATTGTTATACATATTTTAATCTAATATTTAGATTAGAAGGACTAGTGTTAATTATAAGGACTTAAAGCAGTTTGTCATGCTGTCCCTTATGTGGGAAAGCAGATGAAAGAGGTGAGTAGTGATCAAATGATGAGATAGCTTTGCAAGGAAAGAAAGAGATAAGTAAGGTAGTGCTTCTTGTTGGATGCCTTAATCACTGTTTGTTGGCTCTGTCCTAGGGGCTGTGTAGATTTTTTCCTCGTAGAGTGCCAGTCTTGCATATGTTTTTGTGAAGTATTTCACTACCAATTCTATTTGGAAAACAATGTTGCCCAACACAGAGTTTTCTGCATTGGGAATTACATAATTGTATTCTTGTCGTTGCTATAGGGAAGAGAGCTGTTGAGAGTAACTTCATCTTAACGTTGGAAAGACTACTTGATACAGAGTTAATAAAAAAGAGCAAATTAATGCTCTAGTTGTCATGGTTGTTTCCTTTGTTGACATAAGTTGTTTGCAAGGTGGCTGTTACTGAGTTCGTTTCATTCCTCCTGGGGAACAGCTGTCATCAGGGTTTTTGTGGTATCTGGCCAACATTTGATGCATGGTGTTTGGACAAATTTTCACATTATTTCCATTGAATCACAGATTTTTCTTTTAGTTTTTATTTGTTGATGTAAAATTCCTAGGAGATTGAAATGTAATTTTGCCATATGACTAGAATAATAGTCTAGACTGATTATTAAAAACTCCCACTCTCTCTGCCTTTATTTTGGCAATCAAATGCATATGAAATATATAGCCAGATTTTTTTCTTCATTATGCCTTGTGGCAGAAAAAATATTTTTAAGAGCAGCTCCAAGATTTATTTTATGATATGAAACAACAATTACAATGAATTAATATTGTTGGTTAGTAGCATAATGAAAGACCAAGTATGACATACTAAATATCTGCAGTGCCACTGTCTGAAGTTTTCTGCATTTTACTACCTGCAGTAGCCTCTAATAATACTGTGCAGGCTAATCTTTTGTCTGCACTTGCCTATCTTGGGCTCGTGAATCACTGGTCCATCTGCTTTTAACTCTCTACATGGCCCTGACCCTGGTCTTTGCTATTTGTGTCTCTTCTGAATCTGCATTAATAAGCCACCATGATGGTCACACTCAAAAAACCCTAGCATATGTAAACTCAAAAATGCACATTTCTAAGCAATAACAATCGAAGAAAGAAGGTCTCTGTGACTGTATCCTAAAATAGCATTACCTTATAATCATTTCTGTGTGATAACACCTGTTAATTTTTCAGTTCCTGCTTTGCTTCGAAGTTTTATAATTTTTTTTTAAAGACTGGGGGTACTATCTGAAAACTCTTTCATGAATTCATAAAAATTTTTTGCAAATTATATGATATACTTTTTTGATTTGTACTGAGCAAAGCTGCCTTTACCTGAAGTGTCAAGCCACTGAGGTCATCCTCAGTAACGATGGAAAATAATTATATTTCAGCGGTAAGGCTGATTATTAAAACTTACCTATTGCCTTTCCTTTGCTATGGACACAATGGCTAATAATATAAAATTTGAACAACACTTTTTTTCTGTAGAAATAGCAAAAACTATTTAAGATCTGAGAGGCAATATTTTTAATTGGTAAGCTTTGTATTTTCAGTTATTTTATGTCAATATTCAGTAGAAGTATATTTCTATAAAGTTAAAGGAGGCTATACTGGTTACTTACTTCACAAGAACACAAAAGACTCTTTTTAAGACTTGTGTAAGAGCACTTGAAAATTGTTTCAAATATGGCTGTGGGGGTTGCACAGCTGCCTTTAATGATAGAGGGGTTTTTTTTAGTGTTTACACTGTAATTTTATATTTTGTCTTTAAACACTCAACATTGGTTGCATCCCAGTTGGGAAGAAAAATATATTTAAACTCCCAAGAAAATGCATGGGTTTCCTTTTTTAATGTGTCTTCTAGCCTAAATGCTTTCTGTAAGTTGGAAAATACTGTTGTAAGCACAGCAGACTCTTTGTCATTTCTGTATAATCTATTATATTAGGTCTACTCCATCATTAGTTCTGTTGCTATTTCCCTAAAATGTGTTTGCATGTTACTGTGAGTATTATATGTCTTTAATAGTTATTGGTCTAAAAATAGTTACCTGACGATGCTTTAAATGTTTTTTTTTTTTTTGCAAAGCTGGAATAGGGTGTTTCAAGCTCAATTACCTTGCAAAAAAAACCCCAGTTTATATTGTTTGAGATTAGAATGTAGATAAAGTTCTTCCCATTGATTGACAAGAGGTCAATCAGGAGGTGACAGGAGGTGAAGATCCCTGCTGCTGAACAATTTGGGTATAACACGTAACACAACAGCAACAGTAGATGCTGTGTAGTTCAGTGTTGTTACCCTGTGTAGAAGTGTGGGTGTACAGGCCAGAATGAGGGTATGAGCGTGAAAAGCTACAGATCCATGAGTACGGGTTTTGGCAAGATAAGTCTGTGTGATAACTGCTGATAAAGATAGGCCTGTTCCAATTTGATGTATCTCAATGTTTACTGCTTATATACTGGGTCACTGGAAATAGTTACCTTAATAGGGATACACAGTCTGCTCCTCTCTCACTTGCTAAGCTTGTTTGCCTTAACTAACTTCCTTTGTGCTTCCAGCAGTAACAAGTGCTGCCAACAACAGGACAAGACCCCTTCAAACATTGTTATGAAATATACTTGTCTTATCCTCACACTCCTTTTTTGCCACTTCCCAAATTTCTCTACCTTTGTTCTGTTGCATCTTTCTCCCAAGTGATTAAACTTGTGGTTGTCAGGAATTTCAGGCAATAAATTGCAACATCTAAAGTTCAAATGAAAACAATAAGAAATGTGGTGCAAAGTTAAAACTTTAGCATTGTTATGGAGAAGTGTTTAGCAATTTCAAATATCCTCAATATGTGAAACCAATTTTGAAATTGTTAGTTCCAAATTGGGCTACCTTTTACTTTTAGAATAACCATTAACCTTTTAACAAACACTTTGAATAGGTTGCCTCTAGTTTAGTATTTCCTCCCAAAAGCCAGAGATAAAAAAAAATCTTTTTCTAGGTGGTACTGTTTGGACTCTTTTTCACAAAATCAGTAATTTTGAATAATCTGGCTAATTTTAACAAATAAATGCCATATATTATTTTTCTTCTCATGACAGGATATTCTTTATTCTCTTATTTGGCAAATGAAATGTTATAACCCCAAGAAGAGAATCTCTAGTGTATCAGATAACCTCAATTTAGTATTTGATAGTTCATCAAAATTCATTTTTTGTAGTATGGACTTGTATGGCCACATACAAGTAAGTCCATAGTCTGTTTAGAATTTTTAATTTTTTTAATTTCTTTTCCATTTGAGTATTAGCAGCATGCAGTCATTCTAAGCAGGCAGAACACTGCTGTCTTCTTCCAGAATCAGAAGGAGCTCCACATTATGGAAAACACTGCTTACTAAACCTTGTAATAATATTCTGTAGTTATTTTTCATTAATAGAGATAGCAATGTTGTACCTATCCTAAAGGCGCTTGTAATAATATATTCTATACAAGCATAGTAAGATGATTGCAAGGGGAAAAGTAACAATGCATTATGATAGAAGCTACTGTAGCAATCACTGTTGCATTTCCATGTGGCACCACTGAATAATGTATCTACCATGGAACTGTGCTTTCCCTTTAGTTTGCTTTAGGGCACACCAAACCCAAATGCTTTGTATCAAGCAAGTCTTATGCCTAAGATTTTTTTTCTAACCCATCTCCTGTTTAATACATGGGTACGGAACATATGTTAGATGAAGGACACAGTCAATCTTTCTTTGCTGCTGTTTGAATTGTGGAGCAGGAAGTGGCATGAAGAAACTGTTTTTGAGGCTACAATTAAATATCACTTTAATTTATCTTTAATTTAATTTAATCCTCTGATTTAGTAATGCCAAGATCGTTTCCCATTTTTTAAAGATTGTTTTCCTTTGTTGTTTATAGGTCAATAATGACCGACTTGTACTACCTCAGTCAAACAGATGGAGCAGGAGATTGGCGAGAAAAAGAGGCCAAAGATCTAACAGATTTGGTACAGAGGAGAATAACTTATTTACAGGTAAGAGAATAGCACTTTCGAATCAAGGTAATTCAGTCAAGCTATTAGAGAGTGACCTAAGTAGGTCAATGAAGGTGATAAAGGGCCTTGAGGGGAAGCTCTATGAGGAGCAGCTGAGGTCACTTGGTCTGTTGAGCCTGGAAAAGAGGAGACTGAGGGGAAACCTCGTCACTGCCTACAACTTCCTCGTGACGGGGAGAGGAGGGGCAGACACTGATCTCTTCACTGTGGTGACTGGTGACAGGATCCAAGGGAATGGGCTGAAGTTGTGTCAGGGGAGGTTTAGGTTGGATATTAGAAAAAGGTTCTTCACCCAGAGGGTGGTTGGGCACTGAACAGGCTCCCTGGGGAAGTGGTCACAGCACCAAGCCTGGCAGAGTTCGAGGAGTGTTTGGACGATCCTCTCAGGTGCATGGTGTGACTCTTGGGGATGGTCCTGTGCAGGGTTGGGAATCGGACTCAGTGATCCTTGTAGGTCCCTTCCAACTCTCAGCAAATTCTGTGATTCTGTAAACGTTTTTGTTATTATATATATATATATATATATAGCACTTAGCTATACCCTATATACAATAATTACACAAGGTTTTAGAATAAATGTTGTTATATGAATGAATTACATAGAAATTATAACAATTGTTTCAAACATTATTTTATATGTGTATGGAAGATAGTATTTTAAGGAAATATATAGGGTTTGGACTTTTGTTGTTGGGTATGTTTCTTTGTGTGTGTGGTTATTTTTTTTGGATCTGTGGTTTTCAGTGGGCTGTATTTAGCTATTTGAATTACTTTTTTTATTATAAAAGGTAAGTATATTTTTAATCCTCAGAGTGTCAGAATACATAAATATGTTTGCACACTGTTTAAAATAACAATATAAAAGTCCTTGTATCAAACTTCTGAACAAGCCCATTTTTAAAAACATGAGTATGCAAATTTGAAGTGCATGTGTAATATATTGTCAGGACTGGTTCAACAGATGTGTGAGACTTCTCATAGATGCTCATATTTTGAGTGCAAAAGGTCTTTTAAATACATATATTGTGTGTATATAAATTTAAATAAAACTTGTTCTGAAGGTTTTGGGACTTTTTCATGTCTGAATGCGTGCAGCTATTTATGTAATGATCAAAAAGATATTTGATGAAGTCTGTTTTATTTGTACTTGGTTTATTTTTTGTGGCATGTGTGCACCTGTATTGTATGGTTACTCCTAATGCTTGATCTTTTCTCTTGTGTAAATAACTGAATTTGTTTCTCAGATGTTCATTATTTCATAGTTCAACTGTTGGTACCTTCTCTTCTGTGACCAAGCTATGTATTTGTTGCTTGTTAAATAAAAAAAACCCCACCCTTCTGAGGAAAAAAATCCCTGTAAATTATGCAGGAATCATCACTTTATTGTATTCCTTCATCTCTTTTCTGAGAACTGTCCCTTATTTTTTCATTTTTGATGTCACTGTTTGGCAATGGTGTACTGTAACTACTTTCCATGCTGATAAATATAGTCTTTACTTTTTCCTCTTCTTGCATGGTATCCATTTGTTGTCTTGTTTAGGCATATATATATTTCTGAAGGGTGATTGTCTTCATATTGTATGTTGTACAATGTTCAGGATATAGTTCAAGATTAGGACCTACAAGTATGTATAATGAATAACAAGAATAAAAGTTGCTGAGGAGAGCAGAAGCTCAAAACTGAAGCATTAGATAAATGTCTACATTGTTTTCTGGTGAAGTTGAAATGAATTTACTTACTGACTGAAGAGCTGGAAGCCCAGTTAGGTGCTTCTAAAATTTATTTAGATGCATATAATCTATGATAATGGGCTTTCCTCTCTGTTGAGCTAATTGATTCTCATTAAAAAAAAAATAAAAAAGTAGAAACAGTATTAAGAATGAAAATGATACCAAGTCACAACACATACAGAATCCTAACTTTTCAAATAGTACAAATAGTTAAGTCTTTTAGGAAGTCTGTTATATCCTCAGGCACTTCCAAGAGAGGTAGCTATCTTTATCCTCATTATCTTGAGAATGAAACATGTTGATGAACATGAGCAGGTGGTTTACAGAAAGCTGTGGTGTTAGATTCAGAATTAGAAATAGGTCTGACATACTTGGCTCAATTTACATCAGACAGGCTGTTTTGTTTCTGTTTTATTTATAAATTTATTAAAAAGCGGTCAATTTTAAAATTTCTGCCGTGGAAAAAAATGTGTTTTTTCATATTTATGCATTTAAACTATGAATTTAATCATTGTGGGTTCATCTCATGACACTGAGAAATGCAAAAATTAGTATTTCCCTCTTTTCTCTATTACAGAGGAAATCACTTTTTTTTGTATTTTTAATAAATCATTGCTGGTCAAGTTGGAAACATGCAGAGGTATTACTGCTGCACATGAGATTCCATGTGACTGTTTTGTATGAAAGGGTCTGGAAACTATAAAGAAGGGACATATTTTCCTTGTAACCTTTGTGGTTTAAGTTGAGAAAAGGCAGTATATATTTTCCAAAAAATGTAATTCTAGCATTGATAAATGTTGATATTTTTATTATAGAGACTGTGCAAGTCATCAAAAAGAGCACTAAGTTCTTGGGTTTAGCAAATAAGCAGCAATGTTTGAAATTACACATAAGCAGAAATGTTTGAAATTACACATACCTTTATTAATAATATATCTGTATTAAAAAATGAAATAGAATTAAAAATTCAAAAACCCTTGCCCCTCAACTCAATGCCAAAAAGAATTATATGGAACATATTTGTAATTTTTTATTTTAGTTCAGTAGGAAAGGACTGTATAGCTTTTTTCTGGTGCATGTTGAACAGTGACAGCTGCATTATTTTGGGACATCTCCCTGGGAAGTCATTTATCTGAATGATTGTGAATAGTGATGACTGCTACTTCGTTTGGATGACATTACCATAAATTTGATTTAATGAGGCTACATGTAACTAGTTCCCTGTAGTTAGAGCAACATTTAAAAAGTTAGGAGCTTACATTTAAGCAAAAGAACTTATTTTCAGAGATATTTATTATCAAACAGTTGAAGAGAATGTGCAAGAGAAGTCAGACAAGAGCACCTGTAGTACGGTAATCAAGTGAGAATATGATTATGTTTTCTGGCCCTTCCCTTTTGTGTTTATTTTTGTTCTATTTATTTTAGGAAGTTTCTGATTCAGCATGCAGTCTCCCAGTGGCAGAATATTTTTGCCTTTGTTTAAAGAAAAAAAAAAAATCAGAACTTTCTGTTCCTCTTTGAAGGTTAAAAATATAAGCAGGTGAGAAAGGTTACTAAGTACTCGACAACACATCAGTTATATTAGTCATAGTTTGCCATATCCATGCTATTTGTTTGAAGGTTTGTATGGATGCAAAGAAAAGCAAGTTTCTTACCAGGCTTTATTCTGATGTTTCTAGATTTCCCAGTATTTTTGGTGATTTAATGTGTCACTTAGATTTTTCTGTCTTAAAGTGTATTAAGCCCTTTCTCCCTTACATTAAAATTACTGATATATATTCTTAATAAATGTGCTCATGCTAAGATGACAATAACAATAAAAAAGGTTCCGGGCACTTTGTATCCATGCAAAAGCATGCACCCCTCACGACTGGAAGTCTTGAAAGGTGTAAACTTGTATCCTTTAATCAAGCAAATTGAATGTATTATATATTTCCCCAGTTATTCCACTTCATTCATGAGAAACAACTTGTAGTGTAGTTACAGTGTGTTGTTGATGTTGATATATCAAAATAATTTGAAACACGAAGTAGAAAAATTCTCATAGAAAAATTATCGTAGATAATTCTCCATCAGCATTTACTGCTTTTATGTTGAAGGAGGACACTAGCTGAAGGATTTCAGCCATCTGTCGGTATGGGCACTGTTCTGGGAGATGATTTCTTTAATAGGCAGACCATATAGTGATTCAGTTTCCCTGTGATAGACTCAGCATCCTTAAAAGTATTCTCCAAATACGGAGAATCCTGATAATTAACTTTGATATTGTAAGCTCATTTGTATTTTGCAGTTCTTTTCCCATTTTTGCTAATTACTGAATTTATTACACAGCACTGGAAGTGTTCCTTCCCTGTAACATTAGAAAATTTAGGCATATGAATGAATCTAAGCATTTTTAAAGTTAACATTTCGGATAAAATAGATAAGAAACAGGAGAGTTGAAAAGAACCAATTTTTCTGACCTTTTGTGCGTGTTTAGAAAGGAACTGAATTGTTTCTATCACATGTGAAAATGAAAAGTGATTTTTGAATGTCTTGAAACATGTTTTGCGTTTTCCTCATAAGGTTACTTAGTAAATTCGGTATCCGATGTTATGGCATTAGGATAATAACCACTTAGGAAAGTGTGATCACTGCTAGTATTTATATGAGGTTTTCTCTAGAATTTCTACTTAGTGGATTGAGGAGCATAGTGTGGTTAGTCCATCTGCATACTGGCATGTGTTACTCCAGCTAAAACTTATCTGTTGTAGGAGGGTAGCTGCAAACTAGAAAAATTAACATTAGAGACAGATAAGAATATCTGTCTCTCAAATCAAATACATAATATTTCTGACTAGGGAAAGAAGAACTTTTTCTTCCAGCAGCTGGAAGAAACTTCTGGTTGTTTGTTTAGGTTTTGTTTGTTTGGATTTTTTCCATCACCAAAATCTGAAGGGGAGCTATATGAAAAAGAACCATGACAAGTGGCATGATAAAGAAAGGGGAATAGAAGGTCATGAACTACATTTGTGATAACCAGGATAACAAACACCCTTCCTTGACACCATTCTCTCAAAAAACCCACAGTTTTTCACAGATTTTGGGTGGGACTGTCTTGTGCAGCAGACTGCACAGCATCAAAGAATAAAATACTAATTGAAAATATAAAAAAGAACAGCTTTGTTAATGAGAATCATACTATGTTTATGAGGTTACTTAGTAATTTGTAGCAGACTGCTATTGTGATTCACTGGATCAAATACACTTCTCTGAACAGTTTTAAAAACCAGGAGTCATTTGTCATATCGTAAAATGTATGTTAAGGAGAAGAGTTTACTTTTGCCTGTGTGTCATGTGTTTGGATGGCTAACTGCACACTTGAAAACACTGGAAGGTAGTGAGGCATTGAGGCGCTTCTGACGTCGTTCCTATCTGATCCTGCTTTCTGTGAGTAGGCCAACCAAGAGCCCTGGAGAAGAATACAGTGGAAACTGTGAATTTTCTTAGAGCAACAGTGTATGCCCATGTTGTGATGTGATGAAAGACCATCAAATCCATTTTGCTAGTTATACAAATCCATTTTAATTTTAGGTGACATTCTCTTGCATAAAAATTTATAATTTTAACCATTTTACAATTCTGAAAAGTTGTTACCATTTTCAGTTGCGCCGTTCATAGAAGTAGTTCTGAGAAAAATAAAAGGTGTAAACTTTGGCATGGCTTGATAATCTAATCTTCTACATATTGAAGTATGTTTTGTGTGATTGGTCAGTTGTGGGTTTTTTGTTTGTTTAGGATTTTGTGTGAGTTTGGGGGTTTTTTTGTTGTTCTTGGGTTGGGGTTTTTTTCTCTGTGTGTGTTTTTAATACATTTGTAAGGCTGTTACATGATAGGGCTTGACATTCCTAGAGGTCCCTTCCACCCCTCTCTGAATTATGTAGACCGTTTAATTGGATGTAGGAGTCTGTCTTGAGCAGTGTTGTTACGGTTGAGAACAGAGTGCACTGCTCATTCAAGTCAAAAATAACATAATCCTTTTCTTTGACTTTGGGCCAGGAGGAAAAATCTGTCAGTCTTTGATGGTTTTGAAATTGATTGTTGCCCTTTATCAGCTTCGTACCTTTATGGGTTGCTTTGATTGGCAATTTTGGCTTATGAACACACAAACTGTTCTGATGCAATGTAATTTTTCTTCCTTATCGATGGTTAATAATTCCACCTTTTCCAGGAAATACCAGTTGAAACTGCAATATATATATGTTTCTCTACTTCTCTTTCTTTTTAAATTCTCAGTAGATAATTGAAGCCCAAACACTGCCTTGTTTTCCTGCTATTTGAATATAGCAGTTTGAAAAAACTCACAGTCATAAAGTAGCTTAACTACCTTCCTATTTAAGTCACAGACAGATATTTATATATAGTTTTTAGTTAAGTCTTCAAGTAATGTTAAACCCAAGTAAGTGCATTATATTAACATTGATAAACAGTCACACTATTAAATTATGTTTCATTGTGTGTTTCCTACTTGATTTCTATAATATTGTTCATAAGATATTATATGACTCTTATTTTCCTGAAATAAAGTTAGAAGGGCACTCCTTATAAAAGATGACAAAACTTCAAATATGCCATCAATTAAATGCTTTAATTTTCAAGAGGACACAGGCATTTGAAGGTAATTGCAAGTGTAGAAAATGCTACCTATTGGTATTTTCTAAAAAATCTCCGAGGTTATCCCTTTCAAAATAGTGTTGTGGCTTTATTCCAGCTGGCAACGAAGTACCATGCAGAGGCTCCTGCACTCTGCCTCCTCCCTGGTGGAACATACACAAAACCGTACACAAAAATCCCACAAAGAAACCCGACTGTGGGTTGAGATAAGAACAATTTAATAACTGAAACCAAGTAAAATATGGTAATACTGATAATAATTATATTAATAAAAATATACTACTACTACTACAAATGGTATGAGGAGGTATTGTTTCATGGAATTCTTTCTGTGAGGACCTGCACAGAATACTAGAATGCCCCACTTTCTCTCTGGAAAGATTGTGGGAAGTACTTTTGTTAAAGTTTCAAAGATAGATTTAGTCTCAAGTTATCCATTAAATTTGTGATAGCAAAAGTACTGATCTGAGGAACAAAAATTAGGAATGGAAATTTCCTTTAATATATTATTGTTATACCTAGTTAGGCTTTGAATCAGATATAAATAAAATGCTGAATTTATAGCACATGTTAAGGGATTTGGTTTGGCTTTTTTTTAATTTATTTGGTTTGAGGTTTTTTTTGTTTATTTCCCAGGTCTGAATTATTCTCCCCTCCTTTACACAACTGAATTCACAATTTTTAAACTTTTTAAAAAATATTTTAATACTCAGAATATTCAGATTATCTTTAAGATTGCTTGAAGGAGGGCTCTCAGTTCTCCAGGAAGAGATCTTTGTTTTTTGGAAAGACTTGATTTCATTTGTTGCACATTTGCAGAAAATTTATTTAAAGTTAGTTAGATGTGAGAAGAACAGAGTTTATATTAATGCTCAAATATCTATATTCTTGCATCTTATCTGAAACTAATTTTCATTCCAGAGATTCTATGGAAAACATTTTTGGAATTTAGAAGTATGTCTAGAGGCATGCAAATATGAATGTGTACGGCAAAGCACTGTATTTTACAGCAAGAAAGACTTCTGTTGATTATGTTTTTGTATTATCCACATATATAAAAATATTTATTAGTTTGTACTTTTTGACATAGCATTTGTATAATGTAGGCATTTGCCTCATGTGTTATGGTTTCTTGACTTGTGGAAGTGAAGTATATTATTTTATAGAGAGTACACACAGATTAAAATTCTGTCCTTTATCAGTCTGTTCAGGTATGTGTTTTATTTTCTGTATTGGGTATGTGGTCAGTTAGTCTGGGAAGCAGTCCATTAATAAGCATTTGTTTTATTCTGTACCGTGTAGACAGGTGGCAATTTTCTTTTGTTGGATGGCATCCATGCTTATTGTAAGAGAACTAACAAACTTGGAAAAATGCCAAAGGAAAAAACATTCCAACACTGAAAATCATGTTGATGAAATGTGAACTCTGAGTCCAAATGTTGGCTTATTCTGACAGATTTACAAATGAGAAAGTAATTTAAAATCTTGAAGGTATTCTATTTTACATTAGGATAGTGAAGCATGTTCAGTAACTGTTCACGTTCACAGTGAAAAATTCACATAAAATTTTCATGAAGCTGAAGCTTACTCATCCATTTTAATATGAGATGTATTATAGCAGGATGGCTCGTGTGATTTATGGCATTTGTCAGTTTTTCAGGAAAAAAACTATGCCTTTGTGCGTATCTTGTCTTCAGCTTCACTTTTTCATCCATGCTTACAGAACCCGAAGGATTGCAGCAAAGCTAAGAAACTTGTGTGTAATATCAACAAAGGCTGTGGCTATGGTTGTCAACTCCATCATGTAGTTTACTGCTTCATGATCGCTTACGGCACTCAGCGGACGCTTATTTTGGAGTCCCAGAATTGGCGCTATGCTACCGGTGGCTGGGAGACTGTATTTAGACCCGTGAGCGAGACATGTACTGACAGATCAGGTTCCACCACTGGACACTGGTCAGGTAAGACTAAATAACTCAAACAATTTCTCCTTGTTTTGTTTTGCAGGTTCAGTCATGTAGATTTGTTTTGTTCTTTCTTTAGTGTTATGTGGAGCGTAATGAGTGCAGTTGTATATGTAAGCATCTTTTACATCTTATTTGTGCATTTTATAGAAAATAACCATTTTCTTTATTAAAATATCTCTGCTTTGGCAGAGTTTTTTTAATACAGAAGTTTTGTATTTCAGATTTAAATTATAATCCTTCAGCAGTCTACCACTGTGTTGTGTGCCAGATATTGTTCCCCTGGTGGTCTAGAGGGTAAAGGTGCTGCGCTGCCACCGCAGAGACCCGGGTTCGATTCCCGGTGGGGGCCACTCCCCGGGCAGATGGAGCTCGTTAGCCCTGTAAGGCAATCCATCTGCATCCTGAGGACCTCGCTGCCTCTGTCCAAGCTCACTTAGCCCCGGCAGATGAACCTCAGGATTAAAGGGTGGGCTCAGTTCTGCGCACACTGTGTCTCACCTAAAAAATCCAATGCGCAGGCTGGAAGGTGGAAAGACCTTCCCCGGTTCTTCGTTCGCAAAGACTGGCCATTACATTACATTACTTACATTATTCCAATGTTATGGGAAGAGATTATTAAATAGAGGTTGTTGTTGATAAAGTTTTAACAAAATAAGGCATTTTTTCAAATACTGAGCAGAATAAATATAAAGAAAATAGTATCCAATAGTCATTCACACACAAATTAATGAAATAGTTGAAATAATTTTTAATGAAAATGAAACAGATGCAGAATTCAGGTTGTAAAAACAGTGGCAATGTTAAAAATGCATTTTCCTTGTAGATCAGGAATTTGATCCATTTTTATACCAGATTGAACAGTTTGCCTAGAATAAGTAGATGGGCATTGATGTTTGGAGGATCACATATCTTTGTTTGTCTCAAAATAAGCTGCATTCATTTTGAACTACATCTTTTTACATGTGATTGATAGTCAAAACATATCAACATCAGTCTTTTTAGTAGTACACTGCATACCCAGTGCGTATGGAATCTTAAAGAATGTAACTATTAAGGTTTTACAGATCTTAAATTAAGTTACTCAGATTTAGAAAAGCCAGTTTACAGATTGTGTGTAAACTTACTTGTGTGTTTACACACTGAAACAATATTTACACATGAAATAACATCTGCTCTTCAAAGCTTCACGATGCTACCAAACTTTGCTTTGAGAGGTCTAGTGGATTTTGTGAATGAGATTTTTTTTCCAAGCGATATTTCTTAAAAATGGTTGGTTGTTTTGTAAAAACAACTATAGATGGAAAACTGATATTGAGATTTCCAGATGAAGTTTTATTTGTGGCAAAGTTAGCAAGTGAAACTACCATCTGGGCATGGTTCTCGGCAGATCATGTGACTCCAGAATTTAGATGCAGGCAGTTTTGTGAGCAACTATTTAGCGTAATAAGCTGGGAAACAGTGTTCTGGAGCACTGATGCACACACGGCTTTAAAAGACTGTATATTTTTATGAAATTTTGTTAAAATAGATCAGGATTTGCTGCAATATGGGCTCTTGTGGATAAAAGTAGAAATAATGTTTCATTTTAGCTCCCTGCAGTTTTGTTTTGTTTTTTTTTTTTTTTTTCAACAAGTTTCTCAATCCGGATGAATAGTTTGAATGCTGAATGCATGAAATTTCTGGATGTGATAAATTTTTTTTTTTTTAAATAATGAATGCCACTAATCTGAGTTTTGATGTTCTAGAGCTAGAAGACATTCGGCTATGAAAGAAGGTCTTTCTAGAGTTAGCCTACTGACTAGGCACACACACTATAAACTGTGTTAAATTCTAATCTCCTGTAGTGACATGATCATTGAGGAAGAATGATACCGGCAGTCGATCTCTTTTACTAGTTTCCATGTGGCTGCAGTAGGAATCTACTCTGCATTCTTAATTGCTGGTAAATTTGAAAGACATTCTATCTTGTTAAAGATTTCAATATGTTTTTTTTGTGTCTCCCTAAATTTATATAGATTTTTATTTACTTATGTATTTATTTATTTTATTTCCTGTATCTTTACGGGGACAAAATAAGATTGAAATTCTTAACTTTAGTCAGCAGTAGCTTTTCTGCAAAACCACACCTTTAATTTTTTTTTCTCCACAAATTTTGAAGTCAGCATGGGTTTTTCTAGATTTTCAAAATAAATTTATAAAAAGGCATTGACATGTATAAATTTCCATTTCATTGTTTCTCCTATGTAGTGTAGTTACTATGCTGTGTATAGGGATTTTTCAAAAAAATTGTTTTTAATTATGTTTCAAAAATATTCATACAAGTGAAAAATTTAGGATTTTAATCTAAACTATAGAAATAGCAAAAAGTCAGAAAAGTATAAAATCTAAGTGTTGCTTTCATGTAATTTGCAGACCTGCATAGACAATAGTTCAGTAAAATGTGCTTCATGACAAAAATTGTTTAAATCTGTACATTTATCTTTCTTTTTAATTAAATTGCCTCTACTTGACACTTTTTAATTTTATTAGCAGTACAAAATTTGGAAGTTTCTGAAGTTTATCTTCAGTGAAACAATTTAGATATTACTATCTTCTACAAAGAATTAAGAAGCTTATATAAGCTGAGATTACATATATTTCTGTAATTTTGTTTGTCCAGTCCTCTCCTAACTAGGCATAAAGGCTAAACTTGATTTTGGAATTTGGGAAGTAGGGTGAATTTTAATAAGTAAGCCTGTATTAATCTGAGAGCAAAAGATTAGTAAAGCATATTCTCCTCTGTGCAGAGAATTACGGGTCATCTCAGCTCGTGTCATGTCTGGCAGGAATTCTTCTCTGAGTTTGACATGGTGTTTCTATAATCAAGTTCAGCATTTCTAGCTTAAGCATATTAAAAGATTGAGAATTCTATCACGGGTTTTTGTAAATACAGCAGTTATTTCACACCACCTCAATTTTTCATTTTCCTTTGTTTCAGTCATACTGTCATTCTAGACAAAAAAAAAAAATCTTAATAAGGGATGGTTGTATGCATACTCTTTTTAATTTTAAAATTTTGTCTTGGCTGTAATTGCATCTTGTAGTTAATTTTTCCTTTGATATCTATGGTCAAACTGTTAATGAATAATTTAGGTAGGAATTTTTATAAGAAGCATGAATGATTTCCTAGTAATGAGAGTCAAAATATAGAGAACTTGTGAAGATGTATTTATAATGAAATTTGTGATTAATGTTCTTTAAGATAATTACTTAGTCAGGTCATAATGTGTTGTCATTGCAACATGCTAAAATAGAGGAGGCCTTTTCTTATAATTTTTTTGTTGCTGATTTATGATGTTACAGTGG